GCCTCTTAGTCTGGGGCAGGCTGAGCCCTCCTGAGTGTGGGTGGGCCTCCACCGTGTAGGGTGCTGTCCTTCCAAGCTTTGGCAAGATGGAATCTTCCTCAATGGAATCTGTGTCAGGTGTGGGTGTGGTCTTGAAAAGGCATCCTCTCCCCTAGAGGCTGCTGCTTGACACCCTGTTGTACTTTATTAGAGGTGTGGCTGGGCGTGGTGGCTAGTGCCTGTGATGTCAACACTGGGAGGATTGCTTGAGGCCAGGATTTCAAGACCAGCCTGGGCAACATAAGGAGACCCTATCTTTACAGAAAAATTTCGAGAGATTAGCTATGTGTGGTGGTATGCATCTGCAGCCCCACTACTCAGGAGGCTGAGGCAGGAGAATCACTGGAACCCAGGAGGTCTAGGCTGCAGTGAGCCATGTTTGCACCACTACACTCTAGCCTGGGCAACAGAGCAAGACCCACTCTTAAAAACAAATGCCCTGACCATAGCCTCTGAGATTCTAGATTCCATACAACCAGGACCCCATGAGCCACACTTAAAGGCTTTTACTTTGTGGGGGTGGGGAGAAGGGAGGCTGCACCATGACCGTAGGCCTGTCCAAGAGTGGGGCCTCCGCTCTGAGGAGAGGAGAGCTGATCTGCAGAGAGGCTGAAGCCTCATGACATTCATTTTGAGTCCAGCGATTCCTGAAGCCCATCTCGGATGTCTCACTGAAGTGAATCAGTACATTCCTGATAGGATAGGGTTGATTTTCCTGCCACATGCAGTCCCACCCCAACAGAATTCACTTGATCTGCACAACCACCCTGGGGCAGAGATGCTCACCCCCATTTTACAGATGTGGCTGGGAGGCTTGGAGGCCATGTGTCTCACAGAGGACTGGGCTGCACAAAAACCAGTGGTCAACCAGAACTTGAACCTGTCCATATTTGTCCCTTCACTGCACGTGCCCCTCTCGACGGAAGAGCCCACACTTGCTCGCCTCATGCTTGTCCACTCAAGGAATGGGTCCTGAAACCACCAGCTGGCCAGTGAGCCATGTGGAAGGGTTTGGTCATGCCCACCTTTAGCCTGCCCTTCCTCCCTGGTCACTTCACTGTGGTAGTGGGGGAGGGTGAGCTCTGCCTTGCCCCTTGTCACTGTGGCTGTGGGAATCCTGCCCTAATAGGACCAGGGGCTCTCTTACTGTGTACATCATGAGTGGGGCTACTTTCAATTTGCTTCTGCCTGGGACTCCCAAGTCAGTGTCACAGGCCTGTGATGCCCTGAGTACTATGCTAGAAAGGTAGCTTATGGCCATGAAGGAAAGTCTAGGGACAGGCACTCACATGCCCGGATGGATCCCCATGCTTAGGAATGGGGTGAGTGGGAAGCAGTGACTTACCTTGGAAAATGGGGAGGTTTTAGTTTCCAGAAAGCCTTTTGGGCAGCAGCTGCCTGGCGGAGGCCTGCCCTTAGCCTCTCTGAGTCTTCCCTCTCTGCTTTGGTTGGGGGGGGTCTAGCCTCTCCTCCAGATGGGGTGCCAGGACGAGATGGGAAGAGGTTTGCTTTGGAGGGCTGGAATAGGTCTTGCAGCTGCTCTGGCCTTCCCCTGGACTGATGTAGGTCCCTTCCAAATCCTGTTGGCATAGGAGCCGCTGCAGCAAATGGCTGACTTTAGGAACCATCACCTCTCTGCCTCCTGTCTTTTTTTTGAGATGGAGTGCAATCATGCAGTCTTGGCTCACTGCAACCTCTGACTCCTGGTTTCAAGCAATTTGCCTGCCTCAGCCTCTTGAGTAGCTGGGATTGCAGGCATGTGCCACTGTGCCCAGCTAATTTTGTGTTTTTAGTAGAGGTAGGGTTTCTCCATGTTGGTCAAACTGGTCTTGAACTCCCAACCTCAGGTGATCTGCCTGCCTTGGCCTCCCAGTGTGCTGGGATTACAGGCATGAGCCACTGCACCCAGCCAACTTTTGTGTTTTTAGTAGAGATGGGTTCACCATGTGGGCTGGGCTGGTCTCGAACTCCTGCCCTCAAGTGATCTGCCCATCTCAGCCTCCCAAAGTGCTGGGATTACAGACGTGAGCCACCATGCCTGGCCTGTCACCTCCATTTTGGAAAACTAACTGCCCTTGGAGCCAGTCTCACTACTTATAAAATGGTTGGGGAGGTCACATCCCTGCTCTGTGAACTAGGATTTGCAATCCAGGCTAAATGGGCTTGTGAGAATTTATATGAGTAAAGTGCCTGGCATGCTTTGATAAATAACTTTTTTCACATGCCATTCAGTTTGCCCATCTAAACTGTATGGTTCTTGGTCAGGTGTGGTGGCTCACTCCTGTAATCCTAGAACTTTGGGAGGCCGAGGCGAGTGGCTCATTTGAGGTCAGGAGTTTGAGACCAGCTTGGCCAATATGGTGAAACCCTACTAAAAATGGAAAAATTAGCCAGGCATGGTGGTAGCCACCTGTAATCCCAACTACTTGGGAAGCTGAGGCAGGAGAATTGCTTGAGCCTAGGAGGCAGAGGTTGCAGTGAGCAGAGATTGTGCCATTGCACTCCAATGCAATGGGCGATAGAGTGAGACTCTGACTCAAAAAATAAAAAGAAAATAGTAATAAAATGTGTGGTTCAGTGGTTTAGTATATTCACGGGTACCGGTAGTCATCCCTACAGTTGGAACATTTTGCCCACCCCAAAAAGAGCCTGTGTCCATTAGTCACGCCCTGTCTCCCCTCCACCGCCTTAGCCCCGGGCAGCCACTGGGCCACTTTCTGTCTCTGGGTTTGATCTGGCACATCTAAAGTAGAAGTTATTGGCAAAGGCACTGGCTCTTATTTCTAAGAGATGATTTAGAATGCCAGGGCAGCAGAGGATGGGTCTGCCTCACAGAGAGAAGTTTGATTTTCATTTCAGAAGGAGCTTTCCTGGCATTTTAGGCCGCTTGTCATTAAAAAGATTCGTGGGGCATTGTCTGGAGGGGACTTATGCCACTGTGAGCTGGTGACAAGCAGATTAGAAATGGGGGTGTCAAAGGCTGGAATCACCACCTTGGTGGGGGTGGAGGAGAGGACAGTTAGCGGATTGGGGTCTGCCCTTTCCCCATCTCTCTTGGTGACCCTTCCCCTCCATTGGGAAAATGAGGTGCTGAGCCATCTCTCTGGTCCCAGGCTTCAGTTTTCCTCTGTTCAGGGAGTTTCAGAGAGTTGACTGTCCCAGGGCCCTTGGGAATTGGAAACAAGACCTAGAACTTTCTGGAACACGGAGAGTGGTCTGTTGGGCCTTCCTTCGCTTCCTCAGTTTCCGCCCTCCCCCTTCACTCCTTTCTAGGACTTTCCTTCCCCACTCCTGGATCCTCCAATGTTAGTGGAGCAGAAGTACTAAGGCCGGGGGTCAGGAAACAGCCAGTGGGTCAGATCGGGTTCCTGTGTGGTTTTGTACAAACTGGAAGCTGGGGATGTGTCTGAAAAATCAAAAGAACATTTCGTGTTGCATGAAGATTCTATGAAATTCAAATTTCAGGGCCCATAAATAGCTTTGTTGGGGCACAGCCACACTTGTTTGTATGGTGTGTGGCTGCCTTCACCACGGATAGCAGACTAGAATAGCTGCTGTGGCCTGTATTTTCTATTTGTCTTTATGGAAAATGCTTGATGAGCTCCGAGGGTCCGTAGTGGAGCTGATGGAAGGTAGTGCGTGGCATTGGTGGTGGCTGAGCCAGCGAGTGCCCACTCAGAGAGCTGGTTATTAACGGAGTGCTAACCAGTTCACTCTAGATGAGGAATATGCAGATCAGGTTTAAACACATGGAAAGCTGTTTACAGGAAAATGATAAAATAGCAGAACATAAAATGATGGGTACACTGTGGTTATGTTGTCATAAAAATGTGTACATATGGATAGAGAGGAAGGTGTCCCACGTGGAGAGATGAAGAGGTGCCTTGGGCGGGTTGGGAGAGAGCAGTTTTTCTTTCTATTCTATTTTTCTGTTTAAATGCTCCTATAATGTTCTTATAATAAGTGTTGATGAGCACTCGCAGCCACTGGGGGAAGCAGCTACCCAGGCAGAAGACTGTTCTGGGTCCCTGGAAGGCTGTAGGCAGAGGGACCCTGAGCTCTGGACCAGGGTTAGGGGGAGGTATTCTGGGCATGTGGAGGCTGGTGGCCCAAGCTCCTGTGAGCCAGGGGCTGGGGCTGCGTCTTGCCTATGTTGCTGTCATGTATGTGCAGGGCCCATGTTGTGAGTTGTGTGTCTGCCCACTAATGTGCTTAGCCTCTGGAAGTTGCTTAGGAGTCTGGGATTTTGTGGTGAGGTGGGAGTCAGTTGCTTCTGTCCAAAGGAGTTGGCCAGTGGGGGGCATTCTGAGTTCAGAAACCTCTGGCTTTGAGCCTGATGGACCCAGCCAGGCTCAGCTCTGCTGTTGACCAGCTGTGTGCTCTGGGACTCGTGTTAAGTCTGCAGGTGGCAAAACTGTCACCTCCTATCCCATCTTCCCTTCACCCCACCCCCGATCCCTGTGTTCCATTCGGAGCTTCAGAGAGTTGGTGCCACCTAGCTCCATTCACTGACATGCATCTTGTGCTGTACTAGGATGTCGTCCCCATGTTAGTGTGTCCTCTCCGGGGAGACTGGCAGCCCTCGCGGGAGTGCATCGTCTGCTTCTGCATCCTTGGTCACTGCCAGCAGAGGCCTGGGCAGTGGTGGACATCGGATATTATCTGTGGTTGTGCTGGAATGGAGGAGGCCTGGTGTCTGGTTTTGGAGTCAAGAGCCCATGTGCTTAAGGGTTCCAAGCTCACATGGAGGAGGATGTGATTAGCTCTGGGAAGAAGAGTGGCTGGAAGGAGGGCAAGAGCCCTCGACCTGTTCTTGTTGGGAAGGAAAGAGCAGGTGAGGGTGGGGTACTGTTCCAGGCATGGGAAAAAGGCCACGGGAGTCGGCTATAGCCCGGGGCGTGGGCTGGGAGGCGGCTGCTCCAGCACACAGTCACTGAGCCGTCCTGTGCTCTCTGCGGCAGGTGCTGGGAGTCCAGGAAGTGCTGAGCAGATGGAGTCCACGCCCTCGGGGAGACAGAGACCATCACCCTCCCAGAGTGTGGTGAGTCAGAGGGTGACAAGCTCTGAAGACCAGGAAAGCAGGGAGGAAGGGGCGGGCGATGCCCTGTTCTCTTTCATGTGGGGAGACGAGAGGAAACCGCAGGAAGTGGGGACCAACCACATGGTTAGGGGAGGAAAGCGTGTTTCAGGCAGAGAGTGGCCAAGAGCAAAGGCCCCGTAGCAGGCGCGTCTGTGAGTGGTCAGAGCGGAGTGAGGGCTGGGAGATGCGCGGGTCAGAGGGGAGAGGGTGTGTACATGGCAGGTCTGCAGACCCAGGTAAAGAGTCTGGATTTCATTTCTAAGGGGACGAGAGGCTCGGGAAGGTCTGATCAGCCTTCCGTCTTGAAAGGGACACCCCTGCTTCTGCGTGTCAGGTGCGCCAGTGGAAGTGGGAGGCGGTTGCAGCTTCCAGGTGAGAAATGATGGCAACTTGCAGGGTGGGGGAAGAGGCGCCGCCGTGGAGGTGGCTTGCTGGGCCTATCACCTGCTGTTCCCTACCTCAGTGAACAGCGCCCCCACGCACCCCTGCCCGATCCCCGCGCGGCAGAAATCCAGGCCCTGCCAGCCCCTGCTGTTCTACGTGTGGCCAGGCGGGGGAGCCTTCACCCACCCGTTCCCCTCGCCGCACACCCCAGACAGTGCGGTCCTGAGATACCCCTCCTATTCCAGGGCTCAGGCCCCCAGCATGGCCAGACTCCCCTTCCCCTCCCTTCCCCCTCCCCCAGACCATTGCACACAGAGCATCTGGAATGGTCTCTCGGGCAGCACCTCAGACCGTGTGGCTGTGTCGTGTGAGCCCCTTTCCCTCACCGCAGCTCTCTGCCCTACCTGAGCCCAGGTACCTGCGGGCTCCCGGGTCACCTCTGCCTTGAACCTCCCTGAGCCTGAGCTTCTTAAACACAACATCCTCCAGCCTCCTGCCTTCACACAGGCTGTTCTGTTACCCTGGACCTTGTCCCCACCCACCCGTTCCTGATCCTTCAGGTCGCAACTTAGAGGTGACTTTCCCTAGGAGCCTCCTCAGACCCAGTGAGGCCAGATTAGGGCCCCTCCCTGCCCTCATGGCCCCGGGTGTTTAGCACTCCACTTTTTCATGCTATCAAAAGTGTATAGAATGATACATGCTTCTGATGGCTTGTTCCAGCTGTGAGTGCCCTGCGGGCAGGGATGGGGTCTATGTCCTCACTGTGGGTTCAGCTAGCACCTGGCTGGGCACTCGTAGTGTTGTTGAATGCATGAGAGAGTAAGTCACCCTCAGGGGAAGTTGCTGTGTCTGACGCGGGAACATGCGGGTTGCACTGGCAGGGCCTATTGAGACCATGACTGGAGCCTCTGGCCTGCAGAGTGGGGGGCATCAGTGGGGCTTGCATCCTCTGCCCACTTTTTTTTTTTTTTTTTTGAGACAGAATCTTGCTCTGTCGCCTAGGCTGGAGTGCAATGGTGCAATCTCGCCTCACTGCGACATCTGCCTCCTGAGTTCAAGCGATTTTCCTGCCTCAGCCTACCGAGTAGTTGGGATTACAGGCACGCACCACCACAACTTGGCTAATTTTTGAATTTTTGGTAGAGACGGGGTTTCACCATATTGGCCAGGATGGTCTCGATCTCTTGATCTCGTGATCTGCCTGCCTCAGCCTCCCAAAGTGCTGGGATTACAGGCATGAGCCACCGCGCCTGGCCCTTCTGCCCACTTTCTTCCCCTTCCCCCTCCTCTCCCGTCTCCACTCAGGCTGTCTCTCGAGTGGCTGTGGATGCTGACAGAATGCATGCCCGCCTTGCCGTCACTGTTCACGCACAGCGCCTGCTGAGGACTCTCCTGTAACCCAAAGGGGTGGTGGAAGGATGGAGCTTCAGGCCTTGAGGGCCAGAAGACGAACACGGAAGACTGAATCTTCAGGGGACCCCAGCTCTGGGCTGGCCCGGGGCTGTGTTCTGAGGACGGAAGTGGAAGGAGGTGGCAGCAGGAGCCGGGCCCAAGGCATCTCCCACACTTCCGAGGTCGAAGGTGAGGTGTCATATCTGCTTGCTGATGCATGATTTCTTTTTCAGTTTTCTTTGGAACCTGTGCTGTGCAGATGTTCACAATGTGGTGGGGAAGTGAGTTTTGAGAAGCTCTTGGCAGAGTACCATTTGGCGTCCCTGTGGTTCTAGAGATTTCTGGGGCCTCGGGGCTGTAGCACCAGCTGTAGACAGCTGCCTGCCTTCTGACAACGCTCAGCTTCTGGGCCCAGCAGCTTTCTCAGTTCTGAAAACATGTGTGACCTCACGATTCTGGCCCTTCCACCATCCCCGGCAAACTGTTCCGGCGTGTAGGTGGAATTCCTATTTTTAATAGCCAAGTTGTTGAGAAATTGTAGGACTTTCACTTCCTTTGGAACGGAAGGGCTCCAGAAATATTTATATCTTTGCTTCTATAGAACCTAGGAGATCATCTTTGCCCCGGGAGGGTCAGCATGTGAAGAGGGTCACCTGGGAGGGGTCCCAGTGTCAGCCCACACTTGCTGTCAGCAAATGGTACCACAGCGAGCACCCAGGGGCTCAGCCAGCCCCCGAGAGGGAAGTCCCGGCTGTCCACTGGGGAAGGGCAGGGAGGCATGGAAGCAATAGTGACCCCCAGGCTGGCAGGGGTGATGGCGTTATGCAAAGTGTGCAAGTGGAGCATGAGCATGGGTCGGGACCCCCCAAGGCTGGGAATCAGGGAGACACCACAGAGGAGGTGGCCCTTCCCTTGAAGGGTGAAGGATTGATAGGAGTCTGTGGGAGAGTGGAGGCTGTGGGAAGGAGGCCTGTGGGAGGAGGGAGGCTCTTGCATTCCAGGCAGGTGTGGGAGCTCCTGGCAGAGTTTGCAGAAGCCAGCAGCTCAGTGTGGTGGGAGCCGGCTGTGGGCCAGGTGGGTGGGTAGACAGGGGCCAGGTCTGGAGGGGTTTTCAGGAGGGGTCTGAAGTCCATCCTGAAAGTTGTAACTGGGGAGTGGCCTGGTGGTGGGTTAGAGCAGTGTCATTCAAAATTTCCTCCGGTTCACGCAAATAGAGACCTAGCGTGCATACTGACATCCTGGGCTTGTGAGTCGCAGTCGCCCTTGCCGTGTGCAGCTCCTTCTGGTGTGTTCTGTTCTGCTTCTATTCCGGCTCATTTGTTCTTTGAACAATGCTGTTTGCAAGCCTCTACATTGGCTTCCTGTCTCCCTGAATATTTTTGATCTGCAGTTAGAACAGCACACTGGATTGGCAAGTGGGAGACTGAGGCAGGAGCCCAGGCAGGGGCTGCTGTCAGTCAGAGTCCAACCAGGAGAGAGACACGAGTGCCAGGCAGTGGGCCTGGGGCAGGGACTCTGGAGTGAAGATGCCACCTCGGCAGTCCTCACCCAGGCTTCAAGAGACTTGGGGCAGCTCTGGAAGCAGCAAGAGGGGTCCTGTCATCGTGAGGTGCGTTGAAGATCCGGAAGTTGTGGTTTCATAACTCAGACACTGCGTGGTGTCTGAAAGCCATTTCATTAAATGTCACATGGAATCAAAATAGAAATTACATCTCTGGGACAAAGCCCATTGAGCCAGGAGCCAAGAATTCTGAATTGGGACCAGAATAGCCCCCAAAGCTGGTACTGTGGATCCAAGGCTGCTTGCGTCTGGGGGGCTAGCCTCCCTACCCTTGTTTACTCACATCTGGACTCCCTAGAGGGGACAGGTGGTCCTGGAGCCTAGCCTACCTGCTGGGAATCAGAGGCAGCCGAAGGTTTACATGTACAATCACCCATCCCCAGCGCCTTCTGGGAGGGAAGCATATCTTACGGATGGCGACCTTGAGGCTCAGGGAGGGTAAGGTCCCAGCCTGAGATCATACAGCCAGTGAGAGGCAGAGATGAGGCTTAGACTCCAAATAATGGCTTCAGAACACCCACTGTTTTCTATGCCCTGGGCTGCGTTTTCCCCAGTGCTCCTTGCTGTTTGGAACCAGATGACCAATGTGGAGAGACATGAGCTGGTTCAATCAGAGTGCATGGGGAAGGAACTTAGACCCCAGCTTTTTTTTTTTTTTTTTTTTTTTTTGAGAAAGGGTCTCTCTCTGTCACCAGGCTGTAGTGCAGTGGCACAATCTTGGCTCACTGAAACCTCCATCTCCTGGGTTCAAGCAATTCTCCTGCCTCAGCTCCAGAGTAGCTGGGATTACAGGCACCCACCACCATCCCTGGCTAAGTTTTTGTATTTTAGAAGAGATGGGGTTTCTCTTGGAGTATGTTTGAATTCGAGTTGCTGAAAAAAAAAGAAAAAAAAAAAAGAGATGGGGTTTCACCATGTTGGCAAGGATGGTCATCTCCTGACCTAGTGATCCGCCAACCTCGCCTCCCAAAGTGCTGGGATTATAGGCAAGAGCCTGTGTGCGTGGCCAGACCCTGGCATTTTAAAAGCTCCTTGGTAATTCACATGTGCAGCTAGGGTGGGGGCGGGCTCTGCTCTGCAGAATAGGGAAGGGGTGTGAGTGGCCTTGTGTCCGCCTTGTGTCCATAGCTGCCACCTGCTGGTCCATCCATTCAGCCGTTGCATGACACAGGTCATCCTCTGGGGGCTGCTAGGCCCCTCGCACTGGGCAACCTGAGTGTCCCCTCTGCCCCTGAAGCAGGTGGGCCATCCTTGGAGCGGCGCAGAAGAGCTGAGGTGAGGTGGGGGTGGATCAGGCCTTGAGGCGGTGCCTGGTAAGCCCCAAGAAGGATAGGGAGGAGAAGGAGGGAGGGGAGAGGACAGTGCAAGGGCAGTGACCCCCAGCTTGGCCCCGTTTTGAGCATGGGGACGGCGTACACAGATAGTGAGGAAATGCCTGTGTGTTCATTTTCTAATCCATTAATCTTCACTTTTTGTGTATTCTTTGTACCTTTTAAAGGTTTGTTTTGTTTCTTTTCTAACTTTCTGTGTTAGATGTATAATTTCGTTTCTTTATTTAAGGATAAGGATTTTTTGTCTTGTTGGTGGTTTTTTGTTTTTGAGACAGTCTCACTCTGTTGCCCAGGCAGGAGTGCAGTGGCACAACTGTAGTTCACTGCAGCCTCCACCTCCTGTGCTCAAGCGATCCTCCCACCTCATCTGAGTAGCAGGGACTACAGGCGTGCACTACCACACCCAGCTAATTTTTGTATTATTATTATTATTATTATTTTTTTGTAGAGATGGGGTTTTGCCCTGTTGCCCAGGCAACAAGCAAATCTACCCATCTTAGCCTTCCAGAGTGCTGGGATTATAGGCGTGAGCCACTGTGCCTGGCTAGAGATAAGGTTTTTTTTTTCCCCTAGTCCCTGAAAAGATAAGATTTTAAAACTATAGCTTTTCGTCTGAGAACTTTTTTTTTCTTTAAGTAGAATCTGCTGTGCAGTGTTTTCATCCTTATTATTTCTGTATATTCTGAGTTTCAGAGGTTTTTTGTTTTGAGACGGTATCTTGCTCTGTTGCCCAGGCTGGAGAGAAGTGGTGCTATCTTGGCTCACTACAACCTCCGCCTCCCGGGTTCAAGTGATTTCTGGCTAATTTTTGTATTTTTAGTAGAGACGGGATTTTGTCATGTTAGCCAGGCTGGTCTTGAACTCCTGACCTCAAGTGATCCATCTGCCTCAGCTTCCCAAAGTGTTGAGATTATAGGTGTGAGCCACCGTGCCCAGCCATAGATGTTGGTTTTGACTTCCCCTTTAACTTGTCAAGAGTTTTTCTCCCCAGAGGTGGTAGCTTCTTTTTTTTTCCTTTGGAGTTTGTCATACATTAAAAAAAATGTTTTTAGGCCGGGCACGGTGGCTCAAGCCTGTAATCCCAGCACTTTGGGAGGCCGAGGCGGGTGGATCACGAGGTCAAGAGATCGAGACCATCCTGGTCAACATGGTGAAACCCCGTCTCTACTAAAAATACAAAAAAAAAAATTAGCTGGGCATGGTGGCGCGTGCCTGAAGTCCCAGCTACTCAGGAGGCTGAGGCAGGAGAATTGCCTGAACCCAGGAGGCGGAGGTTGCGGTGAGCCAAGATCGCGCCATTGCACTCCAGCCTGGGTAACAAGAGCGAAACTCCGTCTGAAAAAAAAAAAAAAAAAGAATTGGGTTTAACATTCATAGTACACTAATGTAAAGGTGATCCTCCCACCTCAGCCTCCCGAGTAGCTGGGATTATAGGCTGGCACCACTGTACCTGGGCTGGTCTCAAATTCCTGGACTTAAGCCGTCCGCCCACTCGGCTTTCCAAAGTGCTGAGACTACAGGTGTGCGCCTTCACACTTGCCCTGAATTCCTTTTTCAGCATTATGTTTCCTACTAAAAGCACTTATGAAAAGTGAGTATTTTCTCTCTTACTCCTTCTTCTTTTTTTTGCCATCCAATTTTTATTTTGTGTTTCTTAGTGTTTGTCTTGAAATGTGCTTCTATCTCTATGCTCTCTTTTTCTTATTTTTGTCCCCTCCCCCACAAGAAAGATAAAGAAATCAGAGACTTAGGCCAGGTGCGGTGGCTCATGCCTGTAGTCCCAGCACTTTGGGAGGCTGAGGTGGGTGGATCACTTGAGGTCAGGAGTTCAAGACCAGCCTGGCCAACATGGTGAAACCCAGTCTCCACTAAAAATATAAAAATTAGCTAGGCATGGTGGCTGGTGCCTGTAATCCCGGCTACTCAATAGGCTGAGGCAGGAGAATCCCTTGAACCCGGGAGGTGGAGGTTGCTGTGAGCCAAGATCATGCCACTGCACTTTAGCCTGGGCAACAGAGTGAGACTCTGATTAAAAAAAAAAAAAAGAAAAGAAAAGAAGAACATCAGAGACTAACAACTCTTTTCTTCTTTCCTCCTTTTCTTCACAATTTTTGTTTACTGTATCCTTTCTAAATTCGGGATTTTTAATTTATATACGACCTTAGTGCTCACATTGGCCCTACAGATAGATTCACTGCTCACTGTCAGTTCTTTTGCTGTTTTCCTATTTTTCTCTTGATTTGCTGAAATTCCTTCTCCAGCAGTTCCATCAAAAGGGACTAAATGAAAAAGAATTATTGAGTTCTTGCATATTCAACCAGGTTTCTAGTCTTCATGTTTGATCGACAGCGTTTTAGGATATAAAATTCTTAGTCCGCACTTCGCAGGTGTCACTTGTCTCTAGAGTTAAGTGCCATCGTGGGAAAGTCTGAGTTAACTTCTGTTTTGTTTCCCTTTATGAATTGATGTTTTCACTTGACTGTCCAAAGTCTTCTCTATTTAGCTTTTTCCCTTTCTTTTATATTTTAAGTCTAGTTGCTTTCATAGAAGTTATCTTGTTATTGACAGATTTTTTTTTTTTTTTTTTCTTTTTTTGAGGCGGAGTTTCGCTCTTATTACCCAGGCTGGAGTGCAATGGCGCGATCTTGGCTCACCGCAACCTCCGCCTCCCGGGTTCAAGCAATTCTCCTGCCTCAGCCTCCTGAGTAGCTGGGACTACAGGCATGCGCCACCATGCCCAGCTAATTTTTGTATTTTTAGTAGAGACGGGGTTTCACCACGTTGACCAGATGGTCTCGATATCTTGACCTCACGATCCACCCGCCTCGGCCTCCCAAAGTGCTGGGATTATAGGCGTGAGCCACCGCGCCCGGCCTGTATTGACAGATTTTTGTCATTTTCCCCAAGACATGGTGTGCCTTTTCAGTTTGTAGATTTATCTTCTTTTATTTCAGGAAAATTTTCTTGAATGATATCTTTAAATATTTATGTTCCTTTATTTCAGTTTTCTATTCTGGGATATATGATGGGTCCTTTGTAGATTTTCCAAATCTGTCATTTTCTCTGTAATCTCTTTACAGCGTTTGTTTTCATTTCCTTTTGCTCACTTTCCTCAGCCTTGTTCTCAGTGTCTTGATTGTGTTTTGAGCATCTTTGATGCTCCTCGGCCCCGCTTTCCATTTCGTCATGACTTTGAAGATGTGATGTTTTTCCCTCATTCTCTAGTTCTGTCAGCTCCGGTTTTATGTTCCCCCTGAGCTCTTGTATCTATTTTGTTTGCTTGCTTTTTGGAGATGATTGCTTTATTAGTTTTTTTTTGAGACGAAGTCTCACTCTGTTGCTTAGGCTGGAGTACAGTGGTGTGACCTCTGCTTACTGCAACCTCCGCCTCCTGGGATCAAGCGATTCTCCTGCCTCAGCCTCTCGAGTAGCTAGGATTATAGGCCTGTGCCTCCATACCCAGCTAATTTTTGTATTTTTAGTAGAGATGGCGTTTCCCCATGTTGGCTAGGCTGGTTTCGAACTCCTGACCTCAGATGATCTGCCTACCTTGGCCTCTCAAAATGCTGGGTTTATAGGCATGAGCCACAGCATCTGGCTTATGGTTTGTGTGCCTGTAATCCCAGCTACTTGGGAGGCTGAGACAGGAGAATCACTTGACCCTGGGTAGCAGAGGTTGTAGTGAGCCAAGATTACACCACTGCACTCCAACTTGGGTGGCAGAGTAAGGCCCTTTCGCCCAAAAAAAAAAAAAAGAAAAGAAAAGATCTCTTTCAGCTCTACGATGCAAAGATGTTTTCTTCTAGGTACTTTGTAGTTTTACGTTTAGGTCTATGCTGCATTTTTAGTTAAACGTAGTTAATTTTGTAGTTAATTTCTGTGTGTGGTATGAGGTTGGGGATTTGGGCTTATTTTTCTATTCTCTTTGATCTGGTTTCTGGGAGCAGATGGAGGACCCACTAGCTTTTGTGCTGTGTCAAGCTATTATACAAGGCCCCATGGGCTCAGGTTTCTTTTTTTTTTTCTTTTCTAGGAAAAAAAGAGGAAAAGCTATCAGCAATACCGAGGAAACAGCAGGCTAAGGTTGGCATAGTTCTCAGTAAGCATCACGGCAATTCTCTGCTCCCTCCCTCACCTCTTGCCTACTGTTAATCCAAAAATGTCCAACAAATAAGACAAGACCCGAAAGCACTGAAAACTTTTTCTTGCCGCCAAGTGTAAAACACGGACCCGTATAGTGGCTTAAAAAAGTAAATTCCCAGGAACATTTATAGAGATGGAAAATAGGACAGTGGATAGCAGGGGCTGGGGAGGGGAGAAGGAGAGGTGCTGTTGAACAGGTGCAGAGTTTCTGTTTGGGCTGATGGGAAAGTTCTGGAAAAGAAAGCGTTGACGGTTGCACAACACTGTGAAATTCATAATACCATTGAATGCACACTTAAAAATGGTTAAAATGGTAAATTGGGTTATCAGTGTTTTACCACAGTTAAAGAGTATTTTTAAAAAAGCATAGTCCCTCTGGGGTTAGCTGTAGTCAACATCCAAATTCCCTAGTGATGAACTGAAGTATGGACCATCAGCATAAATGTAAATTAAAATTAAGTATTGCCAGGCAGGCTGGGCACAGTGGCTCATGCCTATAATCCCAGCACTTTGGGAGGCCTAGTTGGGGAGATCACTTGAGGTCAGGAGTTCTAGACTAGCCTGGCCAATATACTGAGACCTTGTCTCTACTAAAAAAAAATACAAAAATTAGCTGGGTGTGGTGGTGCACACCTGTAGTCCCAGCCACTCGGGAGGCTGAGGCAGGAGAACACTTGAACCTGGTGGGCAGGGTTTGAGGGGGCACGCGGAAGTTACAGTGAGCCAAGATGGTGCCACTGCACTCCAGCCTGGGTGACAGAGCAACACCCATCTGCCTCCCTCCCAAAAAATTTCCAAGCATGAGATTGCTTGGTCAGTATCTTAACAGTCACAAAGCAAGCAAGGGATCTTGAGAGGGGGAAAGGGAGGAGGTGGGAAGAAAGGAGGAGGACCAAGTTCCTCTGAGTGACTAAGAAATGTTATTTGGTTAAGTCTCTAGCTCCACAGAGTAACTGCCTGATTCTTAAGCCTAGCAGAGTTAAATTATTCTGTAAAAAAACCAATGGCTTTATATTCAAGACCATGTTGCTTCCAACTAAATTGGCCACTCACACTGGGATACCGAGCAACGAACAGCCCACAGGAAGACATCACTCTTGACCCCTGTTTGAAACCAATAGCTATAGCAAACCGCTAATCTTGATCCAGGGCCTATTGGGGTTTCTTTAATTAGCAAGTTTACATTCATGGAGTCTTGTGAAAATGGTTCGATAAATTACAGATAAATAAATATTTTGTACATCCAAGTATCTTCATTAATTTCCACCTGGCTACACGAGGCTCCCTCCTGTGGGCTTTCTCTCTGCGCCCTTTTGCCGTGGACAGTAGGTAGCCTGCTCATTCATCCAACCAGTCCATCAGCCAGGGGTGGCCCAGAGGGAGGAGTGGAGGGGACATGGGCCTGGAATTAGACTGAGCTGGGTGTCCCCAGCTGGGCCACACTGCCAGGCCCTGGTTTCATTACTATGAAATGAGGGGTGGGGTCGGTATCTGGTCTCCCACCCCTACTATGAGGGGTTCCAGGGCTGTCTTCCACCCTCTGATCCTTCCCCTCTTCTGTCGCAGTCCAGAATCCCTCTTTTCTGCCTAAACGCCTCTCGTCTTCATTTGATCATCAGCAGCTGCAGAGCCACGAGCCACCGGGCTTGGCCTGGGAGATGCCGGCCCTCCACTTCCAGCGCTCTCCAGCTGGGATTTCCTCCAGAACAGTGGCAGAGAGTTTGCTCAGAGCCGTGTCTCCTCACTGGGGAGCAATGCTGAGCCAGTTATCTGGCTCCACTTTGCCCCTAGGGAGGTGAAATTGTGCCATCAAATTCCCACAACGACATTGGTTCTTCCTTAAGGATAAGGGGGCTACTGCACAGAGCCCGTGCCGCGCCAGCCCACGCTGCTCTCCCGAGGACTTGCTTTCTCTGGCCTGAGTCTGCCTGAGTCCACCGGAAGAGGCCTGCTGGCCCCCCTGTAAGCCCCTCTAGACCTTGGAGCTCTAGCTGCTCTCAGAGCTCACTTTGAAGGGAGCCTGTAAGGCAGGGGTGTCCAGCCTTGGTTTCCCTTGGCCACAGTGGAAGAAGAATCGTCTTGGGCCACACATGAAATATGCTAACACTGACGATAGCTGATGAGCTTAAAAAAAAAAATCACAACAAACTGATAATGTTTTAAGAAAATTTATAAATTTGTGTTGGGCCGCATTCAGAGCCATTATGGGCTATGGGTTGGACCAGCTTACTGTAATGGATCAGAGATACATACAGTCTTAAAGAAGAAACAGCTCCCAGGCCTGTGAGGCCAAGCAGGCACTCACTGAGTGCCGTGAGCAGGGGAGGGGCAGGCCTGCGCAGTGGGGTCCTCTGTGGGGCCTAGCTGTGTCTGCAGCCATCTGGAGAACTGGGACCAGCACACCGGGGTCTGTTGGCCTCCCGGGAAAGTCTCATTTAGAGGAAGAGAGAACAGAGGTGCGAAAGAGAGGCCATGTTCATTATCCCTTCATTTATTCCCTGTTTATTGAGCTTTGACAACATGTGAGGGACTGCTTGATTGATTGACTGATTGAGTGATTAGGACGGGGTCTCATCTGGCACCCAGGCTGGAGTGCAGTGGCGCCACCTCAGCTCACTGCAACTTCTGCCTTCTGGGCTCAAGCCATCCTCCTACCTCAACCTCCTGAGTAGCTGGAATGACAGGCCCACGCCACCACACGCGGCTACTTTTTGTCTTTTTTGTAGAGATAGGGTTTCGCTATGCTGCCAGGCTGGTCTTGAACAACTAGGCTCAAGTGATCCTCTTGCCTTCCCTTGGCCTCCCAAAATGGTGGGATTATAGGCTTCCACAGCGCCCGGCCAGAGGAACTGTTTCAGATGCTGGAATCTATGGTAACGTGTTGGAGGAAGGGAGTTTCTGAGCTCAGCGCATTTCTTATACTTGGATCTTCCCAAAGTTCCAGTGTAAGAGGCTTCAGTGGAAGAGAAGTAAGAAGGGAATGGGCTGTGTCCCTTGGCGGTAGGGCCACGGGGTGTAGCCTGAAGTGTCCGGACAGCCCACACCATTGCAGGGAGCTGAAGAAGAGACCCATGTCGGGGTCAGGTGACAGCACTGTGCCTGACACCTTGGAAGACCCAGGGGCTTTAGGACTGTCCGGAAAGAGGCCTGGGGTGGCAGATAAAGGAAGGATGCATTTCTGGGAGAAAGTCACCCAGTGCTTGTCACAGCTCAGTTACTCATTAATGAAAAAAAAAAAGGTTCTGGTTTATATATCAGCCATGTAAACTTGGCTAATGTGAGTCTTCCTTGCAAGCTACTGTGTGTGCCAGTTCTGGCTTGGCAGTGAGGTTTCTGAGATGGGTTAGCTGACAGGTAAATGCTACCTGGAAGGCCTCTTGGAGGTTAGCCAGCTGGCTTCAGTCATCAGTAGCTCAGTAAGCAAAAGGTCATGTTCAGTTCAAGTGCAAAGATTGTGAAGCTCAGTGGTGAAAAGCCAGATGAATTCAAGTCACGTGAGCTTTTCTCCAGCGTTTGCAGCCTGGACTAGGGCTGGGCTCATGATGTGAGCTGGGGAGAAAGAAGAAAGAAGACCTATGTTACATATCCACGCTCTCCTCTCTATGTGCCAAAACCAAGTGCAGCTAGGGGCTGGTCATTCCTTCATTCCAAACTGTGCCGCTTTTCCGCCGCTCCTTGAGGCCTATGCTATGTGCAGGATGTTGACCTGACCTCTGTGTGGGGCAGAGAGGTGAGCTGACCCAGTTCTTGTCCTGAGGTCCTCGGGGTCTAGAGGGGGCTGAAATGGGGATGGAGAACTGAGCTGTGTGGGAGGGGGTGGACATTGGTCCTGCCAGGCTCTTACCTGTCTTCACCTGCTGTCCCTGGTGTTCCCTATGTTCTGGGGGTAGCTGCCACAGGGCTAGCCTGTGGCAAGGCCAGGTCTCTGCCAGCAGTCAGGTCCATGCAGCAATCTGGCAGTGGAAGGAAAAGGGTTTTGGGGTCAGACACAAAATTTCCACTCTCCCTCTTCCATGCTTTCCTTTTCTGGGCAAGTTGCTGAACTTCTCTGTGCCTTAGTTTTCTCACCTGTAAAATGGGTTCTGAGAAACGTATCTAGTAGAGCACCTCGTGCCTGATTGCTTAATTCAGGGTAACTCCTTTCCCACAAAGGGCACCCCCTCCACCCCATCTGCTTTGCTTCTCTGATGGACAACCTGATTCAGAAACCTTTTTCCACCCATGGAAAAGGTCCAGGGTAGTGAGGGCTTGCGGGCTGAGTAAAGCCAGGGAGGTGAGAACTGGGACCTTCTGTTTGCCTGATCCATACCCCAGGTCAGATTGCCACGAATGCTGCATCACATTACACAGTTCTGGGTTCCACTGTTGCTGGAAGTTTTGAGAGAATGCACAAGGAGCTAAATCAAATTAAAACAAAATTGCAATCACTGAGTTAATGACTGTGACAGTACAAATAATTCACAACCAAATTAATGTAACATTAAATCTCATCATTGTACTAATAACCTTTGCATGGCAATACAAAAACAACTGTTTGGGGGAGGAATGATTTATTACATGAGAGAACAGAGTTTTGGGAAAGTCTCAGGCCAGGCACAGTGGCTCACGCCTGTAATCCCAGCACTTTGGGAGGCCGAGGCAGGAGAACTGCTTGCGTGGAGGAGTTTGAGACCCACCTAGGCAACATGATGAGACCTGGTCTCTACAAAAAATTAAAAATTAACCGGGCATGGCGACTCATGCCTGTAGTCCCTTGGGAGGGTCTTGAACTCCTTACCTCAGGAGATCTGCCTGCCTCTGCCCGCAGCTACTTGGGAGGTTGAGATGGGAGGATCACTTAGTGTGGGAGGTTGAGGCTACAGTAGCCATGAACGTGCCATGGCACTCAATTTGGGTGACAGAGTGAAACCCTGTCTCAAGAGGCCAGGCACAATGTCCCACACCTGGTAATCCCTCTGGAAGGCCAAGGTGGGAGGATCACTTGAGCCCAGGAGTTGAGACCAGCCTGGGCAACCTAGTGAGACCCGATCTCTGAAAAAGAAAAAAAAAGTCTCAGAATTGCCTTCTGGGATCTGAAAAGGGAGAGAGAGGAGCTAAGGTTTCTAAAGGGCCTATTGTGTGCCACAAGGCAGGGGTGACAGTCCTTGCCCTTGGGAAGTACTTGGCTCACATGGTAGGACAGCCGTATTTGCAGTGACTATGAAGTGAAGGGGCCTTAGGAGTCGAGGGTTATTAGGAAGGCTTCCTGGAGGCGGAGGTTTTGAGTGAGCCTGGAAGGATGAGTAGGCTTGAGTAGGATTCAGTGGATCTTGTTCTGCTTCCTTGTCTCCCTCCCTTCTGCAGCCGGCTACAGTCTGGCCCTTGTTCCTTCTTTGTCCCTCTGATGCTTTTACCAAGTGACCTTCATGTCGCCAGACCCAAAAGTGCGTCCTCAGGGCCTTGTCTTTCCTGACTCTCAGCAGCACACACTCCTGGAAACTTCCATTGGCCTCTGGGATTCGTCCTTCCCTGGTTACCGCCAGCATCACCAGCTCCCCTTCTTTGTCCCCTTTGCTGGGTCCCCTCCCCTCCCAACCTCCTGCACCTCAGAGCATGGCACGCCTGCCTTCCTATGCTCCTGGCTCGGCCCACCAACGATGCTGACATTCATGGCTCTGTCCCGGCCCTCCTGGCTGCCACACTCAAGTATCTCATTATCTGTGAAGCGCTTCCTCTGGGATGTCTAACAGACAATTTTATTGTTTTGAGATGGAGCCTTGGTCTGTCACTCAGGCTGGTGTGCAGTGGCATGATCTTGGCTCACCGCAACCTCTACCTCTTGGGTTCATGCGATTCTGCTTCAGCCTCTCAAGTAGCTGGGCTCACAGGTGCATGCCACCACGCCTGGCTAATTTTTGTATTTTTAGTAGAGACGGTTTCACCATGTTGGCCAGGCTGGCCTTGAACTCCTTACCTCAGGAGATCTGCCTGCCTCTGCCTCCCAAAATGCTGGGATTACAGGAGTGAACCACCACACACAGCCCATTTTAAAAAACTTAATACAGAAAAATGCACACATCATAAGAGCACAGCTCAATGCATTTTCTCAAAGTACATGCACTTGTGAAGTCAGCTCCGCCCCCAGATGGAGAAAGAGGACATCATCAGTGCCCAGGAAACCCCTCCCGGCTCCTCTCAGTCCTGACCACACTAAGGTGCCACCATCTCCACTTCCATCCTTCACTTGCTGGGTCTGGTACTTCATGCAGACGGGATCAAGGATGGTACACTTTTATTTTTTTTGAGATGGAGTCTTGCTCTGTAGCCCAGGCTGGAGTGCAGTGGTGCGATCTCGGCTCACTGCAACCTGCGCCTCCCGGGTCCCAGTTCAAGCAATTCTCCTACCTCAGCCTCCCATGTAGCTGGGATTACAGGCACAAGCCACCATGCCCAGCTAATTTTTGTGTTTTTTAGTAGAGACGGGGTTTCACCTTGTTGGTCAGTCTGGTCTTATACTCCTGACCTCATGATCCGCCCGTCTCAGCCTCCCAAAGTGCTGGGATTATAGGCGTGAGCCACCGCACTGGGCCAAGGATGGCACACTTTTTGGTGGCCGTTTTTTGGCTTCTTTGGCTGAACATCGTGCCTGTGAGAGTCCGTGTTGCAGGAGCTGTAATCCTCCTTTTTCGTTGCTGGAGAGGGTATTCCATTGTTTGACTATCCCACAGTTTGTTCATTCTGCTTCTGATTGGCATTTTTGTATTTCATTTGTAAAATTGTGAATAATTCCATTAGAGGGAACTAATGGCTCCGTTTTGCTGCCTACTCCGCAAACCGACCCTGCCCACAGGAACTGAACTTGCAAATGGGGCAGGTGACATGTATTTTGGTGGGGCCCTTCCATGGCGTAACCTAGTAGAATGCCTAATGTTGGAACTTCAGGCATCACAGCCTGCCTCTTTATTTTAAATAAATGAGTGCGTGAATAAATGAAGGAATAAATGAATGAATGAGAGGAGGGGTAAGTGACTAAATGAATGCATATCTGAGACAAGCATTATTGGGTGGTCACCTGTGCCAAACACCACTGGTCATCTTCATACATGCTGCCATATGTCATCCTCGCCACACCCTTTGATGGGATGGTCACCTTGATTTTATGAAAACAATAGCAAGGCCCAGAGAATCCAGGTCATTGAATCATTGAACTCCTCTGAGCTCTGTTTCCGCATGTTTGAAATGGGTGTCCGCAGAGCTCAGCCGGTTGTTGGGAGGATGAGGGGGTGATACATACAAAGCCGGCAGCGGTCCTGGCACAGGAAAGCGCTCACCCACTTCCTGCCCATCGTTGTTCTGGGTTGTGCTCATGTAGCCTGTAAGTGGCCTGGCCAGGGATATAAATCCACAGCCCTCCGTCATCCCCGCATACCTCTGCCACCCCATGCTGCCTGTCTCTGGGAGATTAGGCGCATGAAGGGGTCTTGGCCATGCCTTTCCAGCCATGCACTCAGAGTGCAGAAGGTGAGGGGTCCCTGAGCCTCCTCCGTCTGCTCCCTGTCCTCACTCGGGGCTGCGATGGTGCAGCTCTGTAGGGCTGCAGGCCTGACTCTGGTGCTCTTCCTCTCCTCGCCTTCCTTATCCAGAGGATGAGGTTGAAATACAATTGTAGTGTCTGTCCTCACTAATTTCATTTTCTGTGTCTGGAGTAATAGGTGCCCTCAAACTCATTATGCTCATTTGAATTCAAATAATAAGCAGCCGAGCGTGAGGCCGGCATGGGGGCCGGGGCCGAGCTCTGAGCAAGGCCTGGCTGCCCCAGCTGGAGAATGGCTGGGCGCTTCTGAGGAGTGGCCTCCTCTGCCGGGAGCTCGGGGTAGGTCAGCTGGTCAGCTGTGACCAGGCAGAAGCTGATACTGACCTGACCCAACCTGGGCAGGCCCAGGAGAGTTCCTCTGCAGACCTTCACCTCGGAGAAGCAAGCAGGAGTGAGAACAGTGCCGTGGGGGCCGGGCCAGATCATCGGTCCTTTGGACGTCTTCTTCCATAAATTTACATCACACTCTCTGGCCAACAGGTGGAAGTCAGTTTCCAGGGGGACCAAATTGGCCCTAATGTTTGTTCACATTTGGTACTGAGAGGTGAGGTGGGTGTGGGTGACATTTCAAAGGGGACTCCTTTAGAGGGATCCCTAAATGAGACCAGATCACTCCCTAGTGGGTGGAGACATCCTCAGCCCAAAGGCATGAGTGGTGGGAGAGCGGTGAACAGTGGCTGCCAGGTGCCCCAGGTACCCAGACGATGAAGGCCACGCTGGCATTTCCCCTGATGGTTCCCAACCTCAGCCTGGGAGCGTCGCTGTCTCCGGTGCTTCCGGAGCCTTGTCTTTTGGCTGCTGGCCTTTGCGTAGTGTCCACTTCTGTGTCCAATTCTCAGGAGACTGAGGTCTGGCCTAGGCGGGTCTCTCCTCCGACTCAGTTCCACGCACGGGATTTGACCCCTGGGCCCAGATAAGACACAAGGTCTTTCCACAAGGCCCTCCCAGAAGGTGGAGCTCTGAGTGGTAGGATTTTAACAGTGCAGCAGGAGAAGAAGGGCTCCAGGATGACTGAGGTTTAGGTGTCACTGGGTTGAAACAGTTCCAGAGGCTTCCTTCCTGCAGGACTGCTCAGAGCCTTTATTGGCTGCTGTATTGTGTGTTCACACACAGGGAGGGAGAGAATGGGGCTTTCCCCAACACTCAGACCTTTGCTTCCCAGAAGTCTCTCCAGGAGAAGAGCCCCGCTTCCACTTCAGAAACACTGGCCCAGAGGAGCCCTGGGAGCCTGCCCCCCGTTTCTCCGGAGCTTCACGGTTGTGCTTCCTGCTGAGGGGAGGTGCCCAGGAGGCCCGGCTCTCCTCCTTGAGGACACAGCTCTGCTCTTACCCTCTGCTCAGCGTGTCTCCAGGGCCCTCGGGGGAAAGTCCAGTCCCCTCTCCCTGCCCCTCCAGGTCCTCCTGCTCTTGTGTGATTCCCTGTGTGCCCCTACATCCTGGGCAAACCAGGGGTTCCTGCTCTTACAGGCTGCCGTATTCTGCTCATGCTGGGCTCAGGCCTGGATGCCCTTCCCCTCACCTTGCACGTAGTTCAGGTTTCATGTGTGCTGCACCCCCTTCCAGGAAGCCCTCCTGACTGCCTTCTGCTATCTTTTCATTTCACTGCTCCACAGCATTTTGTACCAAACCCAAAGGCCTTCTGAGCTGAAAGCATCACACACCCTGTCAAGATGCAGGCCCCTGGGAAATCGTGCAACATCCTATTAATCCCGGGGTCCCCACTGCCTGCATGGGGTGGTGCTGAGTGGATGCTCTAGGAAATCCAAGAGCTTAAACCCGGGTTTGCCTGGTGGGCCCTGTGGCTTTGAGCAAATAGACTGAAGGTGCTTACTGTATAGAGCTGAGCAAGGGGGAGCCATGCAGGCAGGGGAGAGGAGGCCGGCATGGGCAGGGGAGAGGAGGCCGGCATGGGCAGGGGAGAGGAGGCCGGCATGGGCAGGGGAGAGGAGGCCGGCATGGGCAGGGGCTCCTCGCTAGAGGCTGCTTGGATTTGAGGCGGTTCCCTCATGCCCAGCTCCTCTCCTTCTTTCCCGTATTCACCGTAGACATTTGGGTCTCCTCTTCCCTCTGCCCCAGGACCACCTGTGCAGACCACCCCTGCCTGCCAGACCAGTCTCAGGGCATCTGATGGCTTCTCTGCCTGCTCTGCCCACATCTCGGTCCGCACCCCTGGACATCGGGACCCTGTCCCATGCAGCCCACTCACTGTATTTGCAGGCCTTCCTGGAACCCTGACCCTGCCAGGCGAGCTGGCTGCAATCTTGGGATGCCAGAACCTTCTTGCCCGCCTCTGCCTGCCCCATTGCTGCACCCTGAAGTGCCCCCACCAGGCTTTCTGAAGCGGGCCTGGCCCTGAGGCCCCTAGCCCACCTCTCCGTGGAAGTGTTTCCTGGCTGGTCACCCCATCCTTTGGAGCCTCCCTTCTTGGGGCTGCAGGAAGTGTGGACTGGGCCACCCAGCACTGAGCTCCACCCTGTCCCAGGCTGTGGTTCTTTTTGTTTTTTTGAGATGGTCTCCCTCTGTAGCCGAGCCGGGAGTGTGCAGTGGTGTGACCTCGGCTCATTATAACCTTTGCCTCCCAGCCTCAGGCAACCCTCCCACCTCAGCCTCCCAAGTAGCTGGGACCACAGAAATGTGCCACCATGCCTGACTATGTTTTCTTATTTTTGATAGAAACAGGATTTCCTCATGTTGCCCAGGCTGGTCTTGAACTCCTGAGCTCAAGTGATCCACCTGCCTTGGCCTCCCAAAATGCTGGGATTACAGGCCTGAGCCACTGCGCCCGGCCTGGTGGTTCTTTATCAGCACGGGTCCAAGACTTCGACCTCCCTATTGCAGGGCAGATACGGATGTGTGCCACCAGGGTCATGGCCTCCACCACCCGCGTGCACAAGGGGCACAGCCTCCTGCAAGTGTGCCACATGGCAACCTGGACCAGGAATCTCCCCAGCCCAGTGAGGGGCCAGCCTCGTCTCCATTCTACAGATGAGCAAAGAGAGGTGCCAAGAGGGCGCGGGATGCCCAGGTGCACGGAGGGGAGGAGGCAGGGTACAGCCGAGCTGCCAGGCCAGGCACAACTTCCCGATGAACAGAGTGGTGTGGAGCCACCCGCCACTCATGTTGCTTCTCTCAGTCAATCAAAACGCTGCCGCAGCGGGCTTTAGGATGCGGTGTGTCGGTGCGTGTGGGTGTGTGCAGGGCGGTTACTGAAGTTAGTCATAAGCGCCTGCCCAGGAGTCGGAGACGGGGGATGAGTCTCAGCTCTGCCATTTCTTAGCTGTGTGACATCTGGGCCTTGATTTCTCCACATGGAGACAGAGGAGCCCTTCCTTTTCTGTCCCCAGAAAAAGTGCCGGCCACACTCTCCTTGGTATGTCAACAGGGACGCACCTGCTGTTTAGTGGGAAACTGTCTTTCGTGGGCTCAAAGCCCTGCTTTTTGCTGGGCAGGATGACTGTGCACTGTGAGTTAGCCTAAGGGTCAGGGCTGGGAAGACACCAGCTCCCTGGGAGGCCTGGATTGGAGTCGTGGCTCTGCCTGAACTTGCTGTGTGACCTTGGGCAGGGCATCTGCCCTCTGTGGGCCTCAAGTGCTCCATCTTGACAGTAAGGCTTTGTCCACCCACGCTAGCAGTCCCAATCCACGACAGGGATGCTCTAGGTAGAGACGAATGGCCTGCATTGGCAGGGGTCTCCGGGCATGTCCGTCCCACCGCAGGTCCCAGGAGGAGCCCCAGCCTGGCTGGCTGCTTCTAAGAATAGAGCAGACAGGGTCTGGGCGGGGCCGCCAGCGGGCAGCTCCTGCACGCAGGGCCCCGGGGCCTGAGCTCATCAGCGAAGAGGTAATTATGTGTGTGCTTTGTTCCTGCACAAAGGCGCTCTCAGAGAACTTCCGAGAGGCGCTGCTTCCTTGCTGATTTGATTTTTTCAGAACTGGAGTGTGAAAGTCAAGCTGAACCTGCCTAATTGTGCCTGCGAAGGCTATTCAGAGACTGCTCTTGGAAAGAAATCAGGACAATTAGCTCTTGGCTGCAGGGAGAGGGGGAGCCAGCACATGATGATGAATGTCAGCCTGTCCCTGGGGGAACCAAAGGGCAGAGCTGGGCAGAGGAGGGTGTCTGCAGCTGCCTCTGGGGGCCAGGGCTGAGCCCACCACCTGCTCCAGGCACCAAGCTCTGTGTGTGGGTGTGGGGCAGGCAGGCTGGGAGCAGAGGCCAGATAGGACAGCAAGCTCAGGGCTGTTCCTCCCAGCTTGGTGGGGGTTGGTTGTGTGACCTTGGGCAAGTCACGTAGCCCTCTTGGCATCAGTTTCCCCCAGGTCTGCAAAATAAGAATGAGCAGATGGGGCCCGCAGGCGGGGGCTGTGGGGTCCGGGGCAGATGGTGCCTGAAGGTTCTGAAGAGGGAAGTCCTGCAGCCAGACGAACAGACTTGGGTCCCTGGACACTCAGTGGCCGGGCTGTCAGAGCACAGCTATGGAGCTGGCCTGAGTACATCTGGGCTCCACCTCACAGCTGTGTGTGAAATCACCTTGTTCTGTTTTCTTATTTGTGAGTAGAGGTCATATCATCTGTCCACATCACTGCCTAGGTGTGTGGACTGCTTCACACACTCGGACGCCTCAGAACAAGGACTGGCAGTAAGTGCTCAATACATTTCATCATCATCATCGTTGTTATTTTTGACACAGACGGTCACTGTAACGTCCACATGACGCAGCCAGTGCTGTGCGACGAGTCCACTCAGGAGCACACAGGGCTGGGTCCACTTAGCGCTCACGGGCGAGGCGAGCACGCGGGCTTGTGATTGGATTGGTCTCTGCTTGAACCCTTTTAGTTGCCGAGTAGTTTGAATGCCATCCCTGGATAGAAGATACAGTAACTTAAGGGCTACTTATAGATGCAGGGACTAGGAGACGGATGTGGGTGTGGCCAGAGAATCCAGCCCCGGGGACCACCCAGTTCTGATCTGGGTGGCCAGGGCCCTAGAGAAAGTGTCCCTGTCACTTACAAGCCAGGGCCCCCACTATCCCTCCCTGGTCCTGCAGTCCATCTGGGATGTGAGGCGACTCAATCAGGCTCAGTTTTACAGCCAGGTGCCTGGGGGCCAGCTGCCACGGGCTGCCATCACCAACTGGGAGCATTCCTCATTCTCAGCTGGCTTTACCCTTTGCTGTGGCAGCTCCTTTAACAAAGTGTTTTGAATTCTGCTGCACACAGGGGACCCCGCTTTACTCTTTTGGTTTCCTTTTGCTTTTGAGATAAGGTCTTGCTCTCTTGCCCAGGCTGGAATGCACGAACCCAGCTCACTACAGCCTCAACCTCTTGGGCTCAAGCGATCCTCCCACCTCAGCCTCCTAAGTAGCCAGGACCACAGGTGCACGCCACCATACCTAGCTGATTTTTTTAATTTTGTAGAGATGGGGTTTCACCATGTTGCCCAGGCTGGTCTCAGACTCGTGGGGTCAAGCGATCTGCCCGTCTCGACCTCCCAAAGTGTTGGGATTACAGGCGTGAGCCAGCGCGACTGGCCTCTTTTGGTTATCTTCATCAGAACACTTGCAGGGCCTTTGAGAGATCCATCAAACACATTTCCCTTTCGGCACCTTCACCGAATCCTCTCGGATGAAATTTCCAGCAGGAGAGGAACTGAGGTAGAGCCACATGGGGTGACCTCTCAATTAAAGGGCTCTGTAGCTGACGGTCCCAGAACAGGGGACCTGTGTGGGAAGAAGCGCAGACCTAGGCGAAGCCAACAGGGGTGAGGACACGGGGCAGGGGTCACATTTACCCGGCTGGGGACCAGCTGTTTCTAAGGCCCTCACCACTCCTCTGGACAAAAGGGGTATAAACATTGTAAAGCCTGCGGGAAATAAAGGTTTTAAGCAAGGTCTGGAAGTGTCACGTGCCCATGGGTGTTCCTCATCATCAGCGCTGTCATCCTCTCCTGGGTGATCAGGGTGATGAGTGACCCAAAACATGGAAAGGCAAAGAGATTAGGGAGATGGCTTCACCCAGAGAGACTGGATGCGGCCTTCCAAACTGGAAGAGCTGTGCTGTCAAAGCTGCATGTGATTCCCTGGAATAAGTTCGGGGATCCAGGGCCTGCCGATTGCTTCCTGGTCCCTGTGCACACCCCGTGGTGACTCCGTGTAGTGCTTCACAGCCCTGTTGCTGAGGAGCTGGGGATGGGCCGGGAAGGAGGCTTGGACTGGGTGCCTCGAAGCGCCAGGCAGCAGCCACATCAGAGGCATGTGAAGGCAGGAAGGGCAGCCAGCGGCCTGGGGGAGCACAGCAGCTGCTGGTGACAGTTTGCTGGGTTGCCATGGGGGCTCTGGAAGTTCCTTCTGCCCCGAGGTTTGGCTGAGCTCGGCGCGGGCAGCGTGGAGCACATCGTTCCATCTTAATGCCTTTCCCATAAAGCCTTAAAGATGACAGGCCCCATTTCCTGAGCAGAGCTGAACAGTTATTTTACACTTCATGTAATTGATTAAAATGACTCCTCTAAATTAACCAGGCCTTGCAGAGCTGAGTGCGGGAGAGTGGAGTCCGGAGACTGGGGCTGGCTGCAGGGGCACGCTGGGGCCCACAGCCCTTCTCCCGGGCCCTGTTGCCCACCAGCCCGGCTCGCACCCCCGGGTCCTGGTGGCTGGTGCGAATGGGTCAGCCGACTGGCTGATGAATGGCTTCTGTGCCCTGCGCCCGAACACCAGGCTGCCCTGAACAGGGCCCGGTCTCTCAGGGTCAGGGTGGGTCAGGGGCGCCGCATGTGCTCCCCGAGCTCTGTATACAAGTCTGACAAGTGGGTGAGCTGTCTGGCATCCCAGTCTCTGTTAATCATCCATGCTGCCCCTGGGGGTAGAGAATTATGGTCACATTTTATAGCTGGAGAAAGTGAGGCCTGTCTGTGATGTGTAGCTAGGAGGCAGAGAGGCAGGGGCCAAGGCTTAGCCTGTTGTCTACAAAGCCCATGCCCTGTTCCCTATGGCACGCTGGGCGCTTGCATGTTCCTACGGAGCAGTGCCTCGTTGTCACATTCTATTTACTGAGCAGTGATAGAACACGCGCTTTGCCCCCGCCCGTGTCCTAAGCACTTCACAAGCATGAGCGTGTCTAGATGGTGACAGTTTGCTCATGGTCCCTCTCTGAGGGCTTTTACCCCGGCGGCGCTGGAAACGTGGCAGTCAGTCACCACTGACCCTGTTAGGAAACAAGTGTGTCCGTACATTCCACTTATGATGGGGACAGGCCATGGTCACTTTGCTGGGGCCAGTGTCAGCATGATGGCAGATGCCTTGAGAACAGGGCACAGAACTCTGCCTTCTGGAGCAGGATGTCAAATGTTGTTTGGTTCATGCATGTGACACCTGTCAAGAGCCCTGTCACAGCCGCTCTGAAAACAAGCCTGGACTGCCACTCTCCCACCCCTGCATGGCACCTTCCCGACTGTGTTTTATCTGCCTTGGTTTTTCTGGGTCTCGTGTAGCATCAGAAATGATCATTGATAAACGAATGAACCAATCAAGGAATGAATGAGCCAGTGAAAGGCAAATGACTGGACGTGAACGGTGCTCTTGATGGAGTTGGGAAGAAGCTGGTCCGAGGGCCCAGGACAGCCTCTTGCCTTGAATGCCCAGGTGCTGGGATGTCACTGCTCGGCTTGGACATGCCTCTCGCCCTGCCTGGCTACAGCGGACAAACAGCGGGGTGGTGGCTGTGTGTCCGTGCCTGTGTGGAGGATGTGGTGGCTGGTGAGTGTCAGGCTCCGAACAGAGTGCCCTGCCTTGTGTTTTTCTCTTCTCTCAGGGGCTGTGCATAGTCCTGAGCAGGTGCTCTCGGCGGGCGTGTTGGTGGGAAGGTCCTCTGTCCCTTGCTCATCCTGTGTCCTGGCTGTGCCTCCTTGTGTCTGCTCTCTGGGCCAGGAGGAAGTGGAGAGGTGGGATCAGGGCTGATGTCTCCAGCCTGGGTGGTGGTGCACTGGACCATGAGTTCCTACCACGAGTTCTTCATAGCAGAGATTTATGACCTGCCTTTCCTCATTTTCCAAATTGAAGATAACTTGACCATTCTGACTTCTCTTCCCACACAAGGCCATGGGGGCCACCTCTGAGATGTAATAAGCCCTTAGGCCAAATGTCTGCTTGGCCAGAGGAATTGTCTCTGGGGCTTTCTTGGAAATGACTCTCAAAGCATCCAAACTACAGTGTTAGGGGGAAAAGCGGGTTCTCTACCCACTTGGGCTCCGTGTTTGAGGGTCTGAGAATTTCACAGTCAACAGATCAACAGTAGAAAAGACAAAGGCTGTTTTTGTTTTTATCATAGAGATGGGGTCTCATGTGATTCTTTTGCCTCACCCTCCCGAAGTGCTGGGATTACAGTCCCCAGCCCCTGGACCCGGCCTGCCTGAAGAGACAGAGTTTATTCATGCGCACAAACCCTCTTGGCTGTTTTTTCTCTGCCCTCATGCTGCCTCAGTCATCAACACAGAAGACCCCAGGGACCAGATGTGTGGGGGTTCCTCCCTACTGCCAAGCATTGGGCACCAACTGGCTGTCCTCCAATTCACTGCCAACATTACCTACCTGGACAGGGTGTCAGATCCCACAGGCTGGGGCTCAGTCCCTAAGGCCACTCTACCCCCAGCAGATACTAGTCACAAGTCAGCCTCCAGAACTTCTGACCAACTGGCTTCAAATTGGGGTTCCCACACCCCCCTCTTTGGATTTAAATAATTTCCTAGAGTGGCTCCCAGAACGCGGGGAGACCTTTGTGTTTACAGGTTTATTATGAGGGATATTGCAAATGATACAGATGGAGAGGCTCATAGGGCGAGGTGTGGGGGAAGGGACGCAGAGCTTCCATGCCCTCCCTGGGCGCCACCCTCCAGGAACCTCTGTGTGGTTCGCCATCTTGAAGCTTGAGAGCCCAGTCCTCTTGGGTTTCTATGGAAGCTTCATGATGTCAACATCTCTTCCCCCAGGATATAGGGCGACACCCTCTCTGGGGAGGATTTTAAGACCCACAGTCAGAAAACGGGGGAAGATTAGAGTCCTGCCGAGAAGTTCAGAGAGATTCTGTCTCCTGCGGCCTAACACCCGCCGTTACAACCGAAGACTGTAACAAGGGCTATGAGAGTTACGAGCCGGGAACCATGGATGAAAACTATATGCATATAACACATACGTGTATAGTAACACTGGAGAAGTGGAGGGGGTTTATCCACAGCAGGGGCCCCAGCCCCCAGGCTGCAGACTGGTACCTGTCTGTGGCCTGTTAGGAACCCGGCCTCAAGCAGGAGGAGGGTGGCGAGTGGGCACGACCGCCTGAGCCCCGCCTCCGTCAGAGGTGCCATTAGATTCTCAGAGGACCGTGACCCTGTCGTGAACTGCGCGTGTGAGGGATGTAGGCTGCGCAGTCCTAATGAGAATCTAGCGAATGCTGGATGATCTCAGGTGGACCAGTTTCATCCCGAACCATCCCCCGCACTGTCGGTGGAAAAATTGTCTTCCAGGAAACTGGTCCCTGCTGCCAAAAATGTGGGGGTGGGGGCCTGCTGCTCTGAGGACTGAGCAGGGGATGGGAGGGAGAGAAAAGGTGTCTACTGAAGAGCAAATGGAAAGACAAACCGGCTTCCAGGGGACCAGCGTGTGAGATGAGACAGTCTGTGACGAAGCTGGCTTTTGCAATGACAAAGACTGTCCCCTGGACCACACTTGACTCAGTCTCCTGGGACTCTTTCCCGCCAGGCCTCACTTTTGCACTTCTGTGTTTGTCTTTGCATTGTCCAGTTTTAGCGTGAATCTTGCTAAGTCAGTTGAGTGAGAAGTCTCCCACCTGCTCTCTGATCCCCCTTGATCCTCCTCTCTCGTCCCCCAGGTGCTGTCTGATTGCCTGGCCTGCCTTCAGCAAGAATCCTGCGAGGTCAGTTTAGCCAGAACCCCCTCTCCGGGTGTCCGCTCCGCTGACCCCAACCTGCTCCTTGGCTATCAGTTCCCACTTTTCCTCGCTGTGTATGCGGCTGAGCGCAATCTCTCTCCCCCACTGCAGGATCGCGTCGGTGGTTCATACACCTATGGCGATAATTCCTTCCCCCTGCCCCTGACGCCCCCAATAAACGGTGCCTTCTTGCCATCATTAACAAACGTCATTGAATCATTTTTCTTTAACAGCAGGTTCAAGAGATCTCCTCCACCTTCCTCCTGGCAGGATATGCCCTCCGCCCCAAAAGAGAATTTATGGCAGTTTCGCTCTGGACCTCCTTCCTGGGAGTGAAGCTGCCCCTTTCTGAAGAGGGGGTTTATGGCAGCCTCGCTCCCAGAAGTTTCTGCTTTTAGTCAGATAAGGGAAACTCCAAAAAGCCTTCTTTCGGGATCTGTTGAATCTCAAATATCTTCAGTTTAACATAATCTTGATTCCAGCACTGGGGGTTGGAGTGGGTCCCACACCAGTCTCCTATACACCCTACCTGTCCCCACAATCAGCTGAAAGATGCGCCGGCCCTCCAGCCCCCACCCTGTTGATTCATTTCTTCCCTCTCTTTTCCCCTTTTCTTTTCCCGTTATCCAGTCATTCCTTCCTTCTTCCTACCCACCCACCTGATCACCCAGTCATTCTTCCATCTTTCAATCCAACCTTTCCTCAGTACCCAGCCTGTGCAATGTACCATGGACTCCTTCAGGCAGTGGCTCCCAAAACCCAGCATAGAGCGGTACTCAATAATACCCGTTTCATCTGTTATTCAACAAACACTGGTCACTTGCTGCTTTTCTTTATTATTATTATTACTTTTTTGGAGATGGAGTCTCGCTCTGTCACCTAGGCTGGGGTGCAGTGGTTTGATCTTGGCTCACTGCAACCTCCGCCTTCCGGGTTCAAGCAATTCTCCAGCCAGGATTACGGGCAGGTGCTGCCATGCCCGGCTGATTTTTTGTTTGTTTGTTTTTTGTATTTTTAGTAGAGACAGTTTCACTATGTTGGCCAGGCTGGTCTCAAACACCTGACCTTATGATCTGCCCATCTCAGCCTCCCAAAGTGCTGGGATTACAGGCGTGAGCCACTGCACCCAGCTTATTATTATTGTAATGTTTATTTATTTATTTATTTAGAGACAGGGTCTTGCTCTATCACCCAGGCTGGAGTGCGGTGGTACAATCATAGCTCGCTGCAGCCTCCACCTCCTGGGCTCAAGCCATCCTTCCGCCTCAGCCTTCCAAGTAGCTGGGACTACAGGCACATGCCACCATGCCCAGCTACTTGTACTTTTTTGTAGAGATGGGGTTTTCACTGTGTTGCTCAGGCTAGTTTCAAACTCCTGGGCTCAAGCGATCCTCCTGCCTCAGCCTCCCACAGTGCTGGGATTACAGGCGTGCGCCACTGCACCTGGCTGCTTCTCTGTGCAAGTTCCCAAGTTGAAGCACTCCCTTCAGGCGTCGTGTTAGATGTGCAACATGAGGGGAAGTCTTAGATTAATTGCTGCATGCAGAATTGCTCTCAAAGACAAAGACAGTCTTTGCTCTAGAAAAGTGCTCACAGGCGCTGTGAAGGCCTAGATGTTCCCTGGCGGCAACTCAACAGAGGAGCCAGCAAAATGCTCTGTAGGGGGCAAGTTCTGGTTTTTGCTGCAGAGACAGTAAGAGATGCAAAGCCAGGACGGTGAGGGTGAGCTGGGGTCGGGGAGGCACCTTGGGCTCCCCAGCAGAGGGAGGGCATTTGAAGATGGGGGCAGCTGCTCCTTGGAATCTGACAGGCATGGCCACAGAATATGTGCCCCTTTCCTGGCCCCTGCAGGTCTGCACAGTCCTGAGTGCTCGTGCCGCGCAAATGAGTGTCTGAGCTTGGAGAGCTGGCCTCCGCACTGGGCTTCCTGAGGCCAGGAGGGTGCCAGCCAGCCCCTGGGGATCTGAGGAGGTCTGGGAGCTGGCTTTGAACTTCTGCCCACGCTGGAACTTGGGGAGAAGAGGGAGATGTGAGTCAGGTTTTCCTAGTTCCTGAGGGCCTGGGAGGCCTTGGCTGGCATCCAGTTTACATAGAGAGTGGCCCCATCTGACTGTTCTGATCCAGATTCTGGTAACCGAGTGAGCTAGGCCACGGGAGCAGCCAATGTCCCTGCTGTCCCTGAAGGCCGCATGGGAAGCACCTGGGACTGGGGCTTAGGCTTTTCAGAGTGAAGAGGGTGCCTTTCCCTGCCTACTTCCTGGCTTTAAAGTACACCCCAGACATCCCCAGACTCCCAGAATGAGCTCCTGCATCTGCCACGACCCCTGGAGACACTTCTGCCTTCCAGGACGACCCACCCCCAGTTTTCCCAATTACCTTTCACGTTTCCTCTTTGGACATGGAATTTGATTTTGAGGCTCAGCAAGTGGCTGGAGACATAGAGCATAATGTATCATGACTTGGGAGTTGACTGGCTTATCATGGAAATCAATGTTCTCCCACCTCGAGAAGGGGTTGCATGGCCAGGTCACTTTGATCTTGCCCTGTGGTGAAATCAGATGGCCCCTGGCTCATGGGTGCTGGAACCAGGGGGAAGTTTCAGGGTGAGTCAGGAATGCTGGAGAGGTGGGGGTGAATGGGCTGTGCTGTCAGCCTTGTTTTCCTTTCGGGAAAGAGAGCAAGAAAGGAGGGGGACAAAAGAGAGAATGATGCCAAGGAGGCGCCTGGTCAGCGGATGAGCTCAGCCCCTGGGTGACTGCAGTCATTCGGCAGTGGGGACAGACACCAGCCCTGGCTGGGAGGTGGGTCATTTATGGCCTGGGTCTCCCCCCACTCCCTCCTCCTTCTCTCCAACCTGCTTTCCTGCTGCCAGAAGTGGGTGTGCAGGCTCCTGTGTGCCGGGGCACGGCAGAGGCAGCATAGGAGACTCCATGGGGCCTGTGTGCCGCGCTCCCCCCACCCGCCCCAGCCACAGCCCTTTGAGAGCTCAGCAGAATGAATGCCTGATTAGGAATCAGATGCCAGAAAGAAGCTGTGTCTATTCCAAAATCAAGAGGCTGGGAGAGGTGGTGCCCTTTAAAAGGAGAGAAGAGAGAAGTGGCCATCAGGGGCTTGTTCCCTAGCAGCCCAGGCACCTCCAGGCTGCAAGCTCCTTTGAGATGCGGGGCCCAGCCCTCGTCAGGGGAAAAGTGGGTGACTCTCCACCTGGAGCGGACCCCGCACAGGCTGAGCCAATCATTACAGGCTGCTGGGCCGCACAGAACCCAGGCAGCGAGCCTGTGGCGGGGCAGGGTGTGGTTGGCCCAGCCTCCTCACTGGTGAACAGTCAGCTCTGCCCCCAAGGGCTGCCAGGGAATTAAATGAGGTAAGGTATCAACACAGAGCAACTCCACGCTGAGAGCCACGCAGTACCCAGCAAGGCTCAGCAAAGGGAAAGAGAAGTCAGGCGGGGCCCGTGGGCTGACGTGGGATTTGGCGGCTGCTGTTGTCTGCATCTCCTGCCCTCCTCCTAAGCCTTGATTCCAGGGCAGTCCGGCCCCTTGTGTCAGCTGGTGGCATCTCTGCAATTGTTCCTAAAGAGGGGCGTGTGGGTCGAGTGAGGTAAGCAGGGCCGGGCAGGGTGGTGCCCACTGGTCAGTGTCAGAGTCTCCCTAATGTGGTCCGTAAGACAGAGCCGGCGTCGAACAAAGGAACAGCGTGATTTGGGAGCTGCGGCAGCCTCTGTCCTGAGAGCATCTGGGTCAGGACGACACGGATGCCACTCCAGGATCCCTGGCATAGGGAGCCAAACAGGGCAGCCGGGCAGAGGCAGGAGTGAATAGTCACAGACACCTCCCAACCAGCAATGTCCCTGGAACAGTCTTTCTTATTTAAAAATATTGAGTGTCAGTTACGCATCAGGCACTGTTCTGGACATGAGGTCTCAGGAGCAAACAAAATAAACAGCAACTTGGCCCTTGTGTTGCTCAGGATAAAGAAGAGAGGACAGGGAGCTGTGAGGTGCCCCCACCTGGCCAGAGGCTGGGAAATCACAGGAGGAGGTGCTGCTTGTTTAGAAAACCAGACCAAGGGGCCCTGCCAGTCCAGGCCTGGCCAAGGCCCAAGGATGAGAGAAAGCACAGCTCCTTTGGGGTCTGCGTGCATTTTAGCATGAGTGCATTGAGAGGGGGGACGTGTGTTAACAGAGCATGGGTTTGGGAGCCAGACAGACTTGGGCTGAGTCCTACCCTATCTACTAACTAGCCTGCTGGGTCACCTTGCACGGGGTGCAATTTCTCTGCTCTTAGTCATGGATGCTGAGGCCCGCCTGTCTGTCAAGGGTCTGCAGAAAGTCAGATGAGCTAAAGGAGGCCAGGGCTGGCACCATGGTGGTCCCTGGGCCGTGCCTGCTTCCCTCCCACTTCCACTGCCTCCACCTGACGCTGCTCTGGAGGGACCAGGGTGGGCGGACAGAGGGCGATGCCCCATGCCACGCTCCTTCTCTGTTCGTCAGTGATTTATAGGAAGCCGGCTCACACGCGCGCTCAGGGAAGACGGCGAATGCCCTTTTGTTTTTAGTTCAATTTTTTGAGCAGAATGCTCCTGAGGCCAATAGATTTTTTCAGTAATGAAATTGTAAAAATAATTGAATTACACCTTTCTAGCTTCAAGGACAATCTGTGCCCTTTCCCCAGCCCTCCGCGAGACATGAGCGAGCGTTCGCCTCCTGCTCGGTCGGCCCCTTCCCTCTTCCTTCTGTCTGTGGTGCAGCCTTCGAATATAATCCCGGCGAAGGGAGGGGCTGGGTGAGCTGTTACTGCACCCAGGACTGCTCATATCAGCTACGAAATGAAATGTGGGGCCCTTTGTTGAAAAACAATGAAGAATTTCAAGACAGTGGCAGCAAAGACTTGAGCTTAGCTCATGGTCCATCTGAGCAGGGGCCTAGCGTGACCACACAGGTCACACCCTCTGATGCCCACCCCTCTGAGTCCCGGGGAACAGTGGTAAATCAGCACACAGGAAATATCTGTTGAATGGAAAAGCCCATCTCCTTCAGCTTCCTCCGTGTCTGTCCTCTCCTCCCACCCCCGTTTGACTTTCTCTCTTCTCATAGCACTGGACAGCATGGACTCTGGCTGCCTGGGTTCAAATCAGCCCAGCACCTCCTAGTTGTAAGCTCTTCAATAAGTGACTTAAACTCTCTGTGCTCAGTTTTCCACATCTGCAAAATGGGGAGTTGAATAGACTCTACCTCCAAGGATCGTTGTGAGATTGAGGTGTATGAAGCTTGCCCAGCATGAGCTCCATAGTAGGCCCTCGGGGTGTCCGCCACGATGATTATTCTTTTTTTTTTTTTTTTATGGAGTCTCGCTCTGTTGCCAGGCCTGACTGCAGTAGCACAATCTCGGCTCATTGCAACCTCTGTCCCCTGGTTCAAGCAATTCTTCTGCCTCAGCCTCCCTAGTAGCTGGGACTACAGGTGCTCACCCCCATGCCCAGCTAATTTTTGTATTTTTAGTAGAGATGGGGTTGCATCATGTTGGCCAGGATGGTCTCAATCTCTTGACCTCATGATCTGCCTGCCTCAGCCTTTTGAAGTCCTGGGACTACAGGCGTGAGCCACCATGCCCAGCTGATTATTCCTTCTCTTCTCTCTTTTCCATCTTCCTCTCCCTCCATTACTTGGTTCCCCTGTCCCTGGTCCCCTTTCTCCCCCAGTGGCATCTCCACATGTACAACAGTGGCAAGTGCCCAGCCTGTTCTTGCAGCCTGATACCCTCTGCTGGCTTCGCCAGTCGCCCCAGGAGCATCTGGACCCGCCGTGTCCTCTGGCTCTAGGGATAAGCCAGCTCCAGCCCACTGAAACCCCTGTCTATCCCTCCTCCCTCGGCAGAGGCCCAACGCAGTCAGGCCCGTGGCCGGATGGGAGTAGCTCTTCCCTCCGCCCCTGGGCAGGGCTCTGCGGAGCCTGGGAGCCTCGCCTGGAATCAGCCCTCATGCCTCAGGAGAGAAGGAGAGCGAGGAGAGAGGTGATGGGGCTCCCTGGGCACCCCGCTGCACAGTCTCCTCTGAGCTCCTGATCGCCTCGCAGCTGGGAGGCCTGCCCAGAAGAATTCGGTCTAACCCAGTTCAGCGAACTTGAAGAGAATGAGGGCCCGCGCCGGCCGGGGAAGGCAGCATTCCTGCCCTCCGGAGCCCTTGGCCTGGCACGGGTTGGTTAGGGCCTAAATCTGCCTGGGAGGCCGAGTGGCAGTTGGGCTGGTTCTGTGGGGGGTGTGCTCCGTGGGGGGCGTGATCTGGCAAAGCCTTGGCGGTGGGACTGTGGAGGCACCGTTGACTGAACAGTCAGTATAATTCCGCTGTGGATGAGCTGTGGCCCCCGCAATTCACACGTGGAAGCCCAAGCCCCCAGTGTGGCTGTATTTGCAGTAGGGCAGCAATTATGGTTAAATGAGGTCGTATGGGCAGGTGCCGAGCCACTAGGATTAGGCTCCTTAGGCCCACTGCCTTCTCTCTGCCACCTGAGGACACCAGGAGGAGGCGGCCGCCTCCCACCCAGGAGGAGCCCTTGCTGGACCCTGGGCCCTGGCTGCACCGTGACCTTGGGCTCTGGTCCCCAGAACTGTGAGAAGTAGACTTCTGCTGTTTGTGCTGTCCCGTCTGTGGCCTGAGCTAAGACAGCGGCGCCTGGGGAGAAACAGTATCTGAGGAGCTCCTTGGTGCCAGCTGCCCGGGCCCAGCGGCAGCAGAGGAAAATGGCCATGGCCGTCCCCCGTCAGCTCCCTCTCCAGCCGGGCCTTCCGTGGGCTCCCTGGGCAGGCGGGGCCCTCCTGGCTCTGTGTCCTTGGCGAAAGCGGGCCCACGAGGACCTGTGGGGTGGAGTGAGAAAGACACATTCCCCGAGGGGTCACTGTCTTCAGAAGACCTCAATGACTGTAGACTACTGAATTTTTTCCTTAAAAAAAATAAAAAGCTAGGTATGGTGGCTCATGCCTATAATCCCAGTACTTTGGGAGGCCAAAGGAACACTTGAGGCCAGGAGTTCCAGACTCGCCTGGGCAACACGGCAAGACCCCATCTCCAGCTCTACAAAAAAATCTAAAACTTACCCGCGTGTGGTGGCACATGCCTGTGGTTTCAGGTATATGGGAGGCTGAGGCAGGAGGATCACTTAAGCCCAGGAGCTAGAGGCTGCAGTGAGCTATGACTGCACCACTGCATTCCAGCCTGGGTGACAGAGTGAGACTCAAAAATGATAAAAAGAAGAAAAAAACGTTCCTAGCTGCTGTAAAGTTCCTCTTATGCAGAACCTCCTCATTTTACAGAAAATTTGGAAACAGGGAAAAGAGAAAGAAGAGGAAAAGATGCCGAAATATACCTAGAAAGGCCCTGTGAACATGCAGCTGGGTTTCCTGCTACTCCTTCCTCTACGCAGGTGGGCTTTTTCTTATTTAAAATGTTTATTTAGATATAACTCACATGCAGCAAAGTGCACAAATCTGAAGTTTGTAGTTAAGTTTTAGACATGTACACACTCTGCGCCCACCGCCTCTGTTAGGATAGAGGGCAGTGCCAGTGCCCAGGGGCACCGCAGGCCCTGCCCAGCCTCACACTCTCTTCAGCAAACCCGGATTCTCACTCTGTTCCACAGAATAGTTTGGTCTGTTCTTAAACCTCATATACAGGAACCATGTTGTATGTGGTCTTTGTGTCTGGCTGTTTTTTTTTCTTTTTTTTTCATTTTAAAAATTGTGTTAAAATACACATAAAATTGATCATCTTAACCACTTTTAAGTGTACGGTTCAACGTTATTAAACACATTCATAATGTGGTGTAATCATCACTGCCATCCATCTCCAGATCTCTTTTCATCTGGTAAAACTAAGCTCCATTCTCGTTAAACACTCTCTATTCCCTCCTCCCCACAGGCCTGGTAACCACCATTCTACTTTCTGTTCATATAATTAAAAAAAGAAATTTATTTTAGTTTTTGAGATGGTGTCTCGCTATGTCCCCCAGGTGGGAGTGCAGTGGCGCGATCTTGGCTTACCGCAACCTCTGCCTCCCAGGTTCAAATGATCCTCCTGCCTCAGCCCCCTGAGTAGCTGGAATTACAGGCACGCACCACCACGCCCAGCTAATCTTTTTTTTTTGATATTTTTTAGCAGAGACAGGGTTTCACCATGTTGACCGAGCTGGTCTCAAACATGTGACCTCAAGTGATCCACGTACCTCAGCCTCCCAAAGTGCTGGGATTACAGGCGTGAGCCACCGCTCGCCTTTGTTCCTATGAATTTGACAATTCTAGATACCTCCTATGGGCGGTTCATACAGCACTTGTCTTTTGGTGTCTAGCTTATTTCACTTAGCATGATGTCTTCAAAGTTCATCCATATTGTAGCATGTCCGAATTTGTTTCCTTTTTTAGGCTGAATACTATTCCATTATGGATATCGTGCATGTTGCTCATGCATTCATCAGTCAATGGACACTGGGGGGTAGCTTCTGCCCAAGTTTTAGACACTGTGAGTAATGCTGCCGTGAACATGCGTGCACAAATATCTCTTCAATACCCTGTGTTCAGTCCTTTTGGATATATGCCCAGAAGTGGACCTCCTCATCACATGGTAATTCTACTTCTAATTTTTTAAAGGAACCACTGTACTGTTTCCCACAGTGGTTGCACCATTTTACATTTTGCGTCTGGTTTCTTTTGCTTCATGTTGGTCAGGAAGATTCCTGAATGTCATGTACAGCACACGTTTGTTTCTTTATAATTGACGTGTTAAGGATTCCACTGTATGAATGAAACCCAATCTATTAATTCCACTGTTGATGGACATTTGGATTGTTGCCTACTGTGGCTGTTAGGAATGAAACTGCCACTAGCTTTCTTGTACACATTTTCTGGTGGTCATAGGCACCTGTTTCTCTTGCGGGTATATTTAGGAATGGAATCGCTGGATCATAGGGTAGGCAGTTTGGTAGATATTAGGTGTAAATTTTGAGGTCTTTAAAATAGTACTGACTGGGCCAGGTGCAGTGGCTTAGGCCTGTAATCCCAGCACTTTGGGAGGCTGAGGCAGGTGGATCACCTGAGATCAAGAGTTTGAGACCAGCCTGACCAACACAGTGAAACTCCGTCTTTACTAAAAATACAAAACTTAGCTGGGTGTGGTGTTGGGCGCCTGCAATCCCAGCTACCTGGGAGGCTGAGGTAGGAGAATCGCTTCAACCTGGGAGGTGAAGGCTGCAGTGAGCCGACATTGCACCATTGTACTCCAGCCTAGGCGACAGAGCGAGACTTTGCCTTAAAATAAATAAAACAAAATAGTACCGATCATCACATAAAGTTTTGAGGTCTGCCTTTTTCACTTAACATTAAATCATTACTATTTTTAAGTTAGAACTTTTATTTTGAGATAATGATAGATTCCCATGCAGTTGTACGGAGTCACACAGAGAGATCCAGTGCACGTTGTCCCGCATTCTCCCATAGGTGGACATCTTGTGGACCTATAGGGTAACATCACAGTAACTGTACTGACATTGATCCAGTACCCTCAGCTCTCGCTGGCTTTCTTTGCATCCATTCCTGTGCATGCTCCTCTAGTTCCATGCACTTTTATCACCTGCTCATGTTTGTGGCCCCACCCCCCACCACAGTTCCAATGCCACAGGGATTCCCTTCCCTCCCCATCCCTTCCTTCTTTGATTCTGTTCCCCAGGCTGGAGTGCAACAGCACCATTTCAGCTCACTGCCACCTCCGCCGTCCGGGTTCACGCAATTCTCCTGCCTTAGCCTCTCAAGTAGCTGGGACTACAGGCACATGCCACCATGCCTAGCTAATTTTTGCATTTTTAGCAGAGACAGAGTTTCTGTCCATCTTGGCCAGGCTGGTCTTGAACTCCTGAGCTCAGGTAATCTACCTGTTTCAGCCTCCCAAAGTGCTGGGATTACAGGCGTGAGCTACCATGCCTAGCCATCCCTCCTATTAGTTTCTAACGCAATCATCTACCCAGCCTCTGGCAACCACCAGTCTGTTCTCTATCCTGATACCTTTGTCACCACAAGAATGGTCTGTAAAGGGAATCAAGTAACTGGAGCCTTTGGGGATTGGCTTTTTGCAGTCAGCATAGTTCTCTGGAGAGTCATCCAGGCTGCTGTATGCTGTGGTTTGAATGTTGGTGCCCTCCTAAATTCAGATGTTGGAACCTCATACCCAATATAATAGTTTTAAGAGGTGGGACCTTTGGGAAGTGATTAAGTCATGAGGGCTCCAACTGCATGAATGGAATTAATGCCTTTATAAGACAGGGAAAGGGAGTGCGGCTGCCCCTTTCACCATTCGAGGACCCGGCACCCAACTGCTGTCTGTGAATCAGAGAGCACTCACCAGACACCGAATCTGCTGGCGCCTTGATCTTGGACTTCCCAGCCTCCAGAGCTGCGAGCAATAAGTTTTTACTCTAGAAATGATACAGTCTAAGGTATTTTTTTTTTTTTTTTTTTTTTGAGACGGAGTTTCACTCATGTTACCCAGGCTGGAGTGCAATGGTGCAATCTCGGCTCACCGCAACCTCCGCCTCCTGGGTTCAGGCAATTCTCCTGCCTCAGCCTCCTGAGTAGCTGGGATTACAGGCATGTGCCACCATGCCCAGCTAATTTTTTGTATTTTTAGTAGAGATAGGGTTTCACCATGTTGACCAGGATGGTCTCGATCTCTTGACCTCGTGATCCACCCGCCTCGGCCTCCCAAAGTGCTGGGATTACAGGCGTGAGCCACCGCGCCCGGCCCAGTCTAAGGTATTTTGTTACAGCAGCTGGAACAGACTAGACACTGTGTACCAATGATTTGTTATTTTCGCTACTCAGTGGTGTTTCTGCGTTTGGATGTGCCGCAGGGTGTTGGGCATTCACCCTCTTTGTTTGTTCGTTTTTGTTTTTCTGAGACAGTCTCACTCTGTCGCCCAGGCTAGAGTACACAGGCATGATCTTGGCTCACTGTAACCTCCGACTCCCAGGTTCAAGCAATTCTCGTGCCTCTGCCGGCCTGGCATTCACCCTTGAAAGGACATTTGAGTGCTACTGGGGTTTGCCTGCTATACAGTGAAACTGCTGTGGGGACTAGTGTATAGATTCTTTTGCGAGCTTATGTTCACACAAGAATGCAGTTGCTGGGTTGTGTGCTATTTGCCTCGTAACTACAGAAGCTTCTTAACTTACAATAGGGTTACATTCCAATAAACCCATTGTAAATTGGCAGCGTGGGGGAGTGGGAGCTGATCTCTCTGCCGCTGTCCAGCACTGTGAGGGAAGTACAGTTTCTATTGAATATATATCATGTTCGCACTATCACAGTGTCAAAAATCCTGGGTTGAACTATCATAAGCCAGGAATTGCCTGTACATTTTTTTTTTTTTTTTTTTTGAGACAGAGTTTTGCTCTTGTTGACCAGGCTGGAGTGCAATGGTGTGATCTCGGCTCACCGCAACCTCTGCCTCCTGGGTTCAAGCGATTCTCCTGCTTCACCCTCCCAAGTAGCTGGAAGTACAGGCACGTGCCACCATGCCTGGCTAATTTTGTATTTTTAGTAGAGACGAGGTTTCTCCATGTTGGTCAGGCTGGACACAAACTCCCAACCTCAGGTGATCTGCCTACCTCAGCCTCCCAAAATGCTGGGATTACAGGCATGAGCCGCAGCACCCGGCCAGATTGCCTGTATTTGTAGAGGAACACAAGGTCCTAGGTTACTCTGCCAGTTACATATTCTGATGCAAACCTTTTCTGAAGTCTTTATTATCGTGACATGCTGGGGGCCTCCGCACCCCTCATTTTTGGGGATTAGAGGTTTCTTCTGTGTAATCCAGCTCTAGAGCCACTTTCTCTGGAAGCTTCCACCCAGAGCCACCTCCCTGAGAGAGCGGCCCCAGCAATGACCTTCCTGTGGAGTGACGGAGCTCTCAGGCTCCGCAGAGGCTGCCACCCGATGGCTCCCTCCCCCAGAGGAGGGGCCCCTGGTCTCAGCTGAGGCTTACAGCTGAACACACCTGGCTCCGGACGCACCGGGAGCTCTTTCCCTGAGTGTGTCCCTGTCATGTAGACAGAGGCCTTTGAGAAAATAAACAGTCCTGAGAGAACCTCTTCCTACTGGGGGAAGCTGACTTGGTCTGGTGAAGAATATTCACTTGCTTCCAGCAGAAAATAACTTCGCTGGGAGCCTGGTGGTTATTAGAACTAAATCATTCTCTGAACTTTACAGACAGGCTGAGCATGGCCATTGTATTTCCATCACCCTGGAGAGAAATCTGTGACCAAATGGTTAAAAAAATTCCAAGTCATGCATTATTCACCCTCACTGCATAATGCATGAAGGCTACGGGCCGGGCCCATTTATGTTTTCAGCGTTGGCCTCAAATGTCAGGCACTGCCTCGGAGAGGCCCAGGAGGGCCTTGGCACTCATTGCTGGCCCCTGCTCCCCTCTGAATGAACTCAGGCCTCCAGGGCTCCTGCTCCTGCTCATTAGGCTTTCAGCCTGGATGGTCCTTCTTTCTCTTCTTCTATGAAGTCCTCTCCATTTTTCAAGGCTGAGAAATCACCTATCCCTGCCACCTCCCCAGGCAGGAAGTCATCCTCCCTCCCTGTTCCCCGTAACACTTTATTTTTATTTATATATTTTTTCGAGGTGGAATCTCGCTCTGTCACCCAGGGTGGAGCACAGTGGCCTGATTGAGGCTCACTGCAACCTCCGCCTCCCGGGTTCAAGCAATTATTCTTGTGCCTCAGCCTCCCAAGAAGCTGGGACTGCAGGCACGCACCACCACACCTGGCTAATTTTTGTTTTGTTTTTTTAATTTATTTTATTTAAAAAAATTAAAAGAAGTCGTCCTAGCGCAGGGGCCATGCTAATCTTCTCTGTATCGTTCCAATTTTAGTATATGTGCTGCCGAGGCAAGCACGATTTTTGTATTTTTAGTAGAGATGGGATTTCACCATGTTGGCCAGGCTGGTCTCGAACTTCTGACCTCAGGTGATCTACCTGCCTCGGCCTCCCAAAGGGCTGGGATTACAGGAGTGAGTCACCATGCCCAGCCCCCTGTAGTACTTTAGAATATTGATAACTACCACCACCATGATCATAACTTGTATGATTTATGTAGTTTCTATTCTCTGCTGGACACTCACACTATCTCATTTAATTCTTATAATAGCCAGTGAGGCAGATATTCTATTTCTCAATTTTAATATGATGAAAGAGGCTTGGAGAGGTTAATTAATTTGCCCAATGACATGCTGCTAGCAAGAGGCAGCATCGCAGTTTGCCTGCAGGATGGTAGTAATTGCCATCCCTTTTCTTCTCAATCATTCTCACCAGAAATGTATTAGTTTTGCAGCCTTTTCAAGGAACCAACTTTAGGTTTTGTTGATGGTCTCTGTATCTTAGTTCATTAAGTTTGTTTTCTTATTTCTAGTCCTGCTTGCTTTAGATTTATTTTGCTGTTTCTATTGTAATTTCTTGAGATAGATCTTAGTGCATTTCTTTCCAGTTTCTTCTCCCTTCTCCAGCTCAGGCTGGTCTTGAACTCCTGGGTTCATGCAAGCATTTCAGGCTAGAAATTTCCCTCTGA